TAGTGAAATGTGATTTGGTCGTTTTCTTAAAAGGCATGAATTGCATATCTCATAAGACTAAAAGTCAAATGGGTCCAAAACTCTATCTTTGTAGTGCTTTGCGATGTAAGTCTAATTAATATAACCTAGTTTACAATGCCAGAGATATGTATGGTTCTTATCGCCGTGCTTGGCTTTCTTTGTTTCTATATTGAGAACTTCTTTATTGTTTAAATCAAGAACATATAAACCATTATGTAATCTAACTGTTCCATAAAGAATACATTTAGACTAAAAGACAACAATCAATTAGTTATAACAAAATGATGTCCTTGTTCGCCCAAAGCGGACACATAAATAATATTTTTACAAACTAAAGGTACATAATAACAATCCTAAGTTCCAATAACAAACTCGTAGGCAAAGTCAAATAATAAGATCCTACAGCCATTGTAGCAACACGTGCTCAATTTCCAACTCATAGGCTTTGGCGAACGATTTACTCTACCTTAGTCGATGCACATCAATACAAATGTGAGAACCACATCATGTGTCAATGACCTAAGATGCTGAAGGAGAAAGATTGATCTCAATCATAAATAAACCTGAAATCGAAGTCACCAACTTCTTCTTGTTCACTAGGATGACCTTGCAGTGTTTCCTCCAATGGTCAAACTTGCTACAGTATAAGCAAACTACCTTCCCATCCTTATTGATGCCACCTTCAGGCTTCAATCAGGATCTTAGGGCTTAGGCTTGGGTTTGGGTTTGACCTTAGCCTTACCCTTACCTTTACCCTTCCCTTTACTAGTGCCAACAACAATTAGCAACATTGGTTTGGACTTCTTGGTGTTCTGTTCTACTATCTTCAACATGGTTAGGAGCCTAGTTAGTAAAAACGCGTATTATATGCGAATTGTACAGATAGCCATATAATTCGCGTATAAAACACACGTATATGTATTTTGTAAAATCTGGCCTATAATTCACATATAATAAGACTTTCCATATAATTCGCGAATAATTTGCGAACTATTCATGAATTATTGAAAAAAAAAAAAATCTCACCCCCAAAACAACGTCGTTTTAGTGGGTTTTTAATAAAAATTAAAACAGATCTCTCTTCTTCGGTTCTTCTTCAGCTCTTCACTTCTTCTTCCTCAGTTCGGCTCTTCTTCTTCCTCAGTTCTTCTTCAGCTTTTCTTCCTCAGTTCTTCACGGTTTCAGCTCTCCTTAAATTTCTTCTGCACTTTCTCCATTTTCTTCAGAAAATTCCATCTCTAAATTTCTTCCACACGAACAATTTAATTCAAGAACAATATAATATTTTTATTTTGCAGAAACAATTAACTCAAACTAAATCAATTTGATCTCTCTTCTTTGTCTCCCCTCTATTACTCAATCTTCTTCTTTAAAAGTTGCTCTTCTCTAACAATCGACAAATATCTTTTTGATTTCTAGATCTAAGAATTAAAACGGCAAAGCATTAGTTACAGGCTTTAGCTAGGGTGGTTGGCTGCGACCGGAGATGCGTAGATGTGCATCTTGGTCGTGGTGATGATCCGTGCCAGGGGTGAACTTATCCATTGGGTGAAGCAAATGTGTGCTGGGAAATCATTTTGGGAACCAACTTTTGGGATATTTTGTAAATAGTTTCCGGCAATGAGATTGCTTTCTTGTTTTTGTAATGGGATTTAAGTAAACCACTGCCTTGGGTTTGCTTTGTGGCGAATTCTGGTAAATTTGTGGTGGATTATGGTGGGTTGTGGACCTGTGGTAGATTTGTTGCGGATTATGGCAGATTACGGTGGATTGTGGCGCTGTTAGGACTTATTGTTGTTTATGTAATTTGTGAGTTTTTGTTATAAACTATAATTTGAATCTTGGTTGTATTATTTGTATATTTTATTTGTTTGGAACTCTTATTCGACTTTGAATTTTGGTTTTATTATGACTTATGTGTTTGATTTGACACTATAGTTGAATGTTGGTTAAATATTGTGTTTGAGTCTGGAGACTATAATTTGAATATCAGTTATATTTATATATTATGTATTTGTATTATTGGTTAATTGAATATTTTGCATTTGAAATGTTATATTGATTTTAACCAGGTAGTCCATAAAAGTACTAAAACTAAGATTGATGTTGCCGTATTTTTCAAAACGTATTATTGATAATGCACCGTATTAAACCCATATATACCCGTACCGTATTTTTCCCATATCCGAATTTTATAGCCGAATTTTTATAAACGTATTTTTCACTATTTGTCGTATTATACCCGTAAAATTCCCGTACCCTTTTTTTGCCGTACCTGTATTTACTAACTAGGGTTAGGAGCTCAGAAAGGGTCTTAATCATTCCATTCATGTTGAAAGTTATTATGAAATGTGAATATGAATCAAGTAAGGATTGCAAAATTAAATCAGTTTGCTACTCAACGTCCAAACCAAAGCCCAAAATCTCAAGTCTCTCAATATACCCAATCATCTTAACTATGTGAGGACCAACTGAGGCACCCTCTACCATACGACTCCTAAATAGTTGATTAGACACCTCATATCTCTCATGACAAGCTTGCTCTTGAAAAAGCTCATTGAGATGTTCAACAATTACAGTAACATCCATCTTTTCATTTTGCTTTTGCAATTCAAGTGTCATTGATGCCAATATTATACACTGGATAGTGTCATCATCATCAAAATACTTTTGATAAGTATCTTTTCGCTCTTGAGTGGCATCAGGACCAGGTACAATCGAGTAAGGCTGATCGATGGTATATAATTTCTTTTCGGACTTAAGTACAATCTGGAGATTTCGATACCAGATCGTGAAAGTTATACCATATAGCCTATTTTCTCTTTCGATTATCGATCACAATGAAAGGTTGTTATTGCTCATTTTTATGATCTACAAGTGCAGAATAAAACGAAGTTATTATCATGTTTATAATGATTTAATATGGTCTTTAATTAGCCCTTACTATTAAACTCGAGAAGGCTTATTGGTATTCCTAATGGACCAAGATCTCATTTAGCCCATTTTAAACATTCGCTTTGACGAACAAGCCAAAATGAGTTGATTAGGTAGGTCAAAAAACTCAGTTTACACCAGTTAATGGCACCAACTAATGACCTCAAATGTAAGTCAAGTCAAGTCAAAAAACCAATTATACAATTCAATGGCATCAGTCACTACATACACAAAACAAGTGTACTACTCTACTATGCCTCTAATATATATTTATCAACTTTTGCTTTGACAGACAAGCAAAATATATATTAGTTAAGTCGAACCTATCACTATTAAGGAAACTCAATGAAAATTAATGTCCCACCGGTAGAAGTGTACCCTTCGCTTTGGTGAACAATGTTCTGGCGAATAGTGGTTTGACTAAACCATAATGGTGGAAGGTTTTGGGTTATTTTTCTACTTAATATACTTTTGATGAGGGGTTTTAATTGTTAATGATCTCACCATTCACTGTAATATTTTGACACACACACACACACATATATAAACCTTGGCACTTGGTTACTCGTTGGTCGTCGGTCGTAAATCGCCGTCCTTTGCCATTCACTGTTTTCTCAATAAAGTGGAATTTTAAATTTTGATTTTTTTATGCAAAATGTTAATTTACCATTCTGCCCTTACTTATAGTGAACTTTTGATCATCCTACCCTTCTTCACAACGAAACCTACTAACATATTTGTGTTATGGGTAATAAAGTTGTATTTTGAAACTTTTTGGGTGAGAAAGTGTCACTAGGCCATTATTTGGATGGAAAATTTAAATGTACAATACCAACAGATGGGAACAGACGGAGGGCTACGGGTCATCATGCTACAAACGACTCAATACTCACTGATAGCTTTCCATTTGTGGGTATCGCGCACTATCCTATTAGCACACAAAAAAGAAAATGATTCTCTAATAAGTGCTCAGAAAGTTACATTGCCTTTTTCGTGCATTTTTTTATAGGAGCAATATTACATTTACAACTCAATCTCACAAACTTCTCTCACAACTCAATCTCACAAACTTTCTCTCACAACCCCAATGTGGTAGCTCGTGATTAGTTTATGATGAATTTTCTTGCTTGACCAATTGCGAACTAACCAATTGCGAACTGATCAATTGCGAGTTGTCACGTCGGGGTTATGAAAGAAAGTTTGTAAGATTGGATTGTGAGCTAAGCTTTATTGCTTTTATAGTCACCATAACCACAACACACGACGGCCACAAATACCAACTGTCACATTCAACCATTTATTCATTCAAGTTCATCACAAACAATCACAAAATTTTCGGTTTCTTCACAACATATTTGGATTGGACAACGACAAAATGGTGCCCCAACAACTGATTACCATTTTTACTAGCAGAAAACTTCTTAATTTTCCAAATCTTTTACAAAATGGTGTCCCTTGTGGTTGTGATTTTGATTTCAGTAGTGTAAGTATGAGGAAGTGTTAGATGAAATGAGAGAGTTTAGAATTACGCTAGAGAATCACTGGCTTATATATATATCAAGGGGCATTTCTATCCTAAAATATATGGAAATGTTATTTTCCCTGAGACTTCTTAGAATGGATTAATTTTCAATTCAAGATCTAAAAATAAGTTATTTAAAAACAATTTTCCTTAAACGTGTATAATATGTCAATAAATTTTAAGATTTGCATTATATTTTTTCTTTCAAATTTTATTGTTATTTTTTTTAAACACGCAATTATCGTAATAGACTCTGTTGAGCCCTCAAGTCATCTAACCCTAGCATTCCTCAAGTCATCTAACCCTAGCATTTTGTAGTACTTGAGATTTTCATTTTTTCATAATTAGAATCGAAGGGTAGGATTTGATCACATTAAATGATTGATTTATCTGTTTCAATTTCGTTTTATTTACCCAAATTAAGCCACGACATCACTGTTTTTATATTATTGTAAATCTAATTATCACTTCATCTTTATGTTTTGTGGCACAAATACTGTCAAAAATAACAAAAAATCACAGGATGAGCACTATATTCGCAGAAACTTTGTTCTATCTCCCAATTCTTAACATGCCTTTAGCTCATGTTTATTTTTCAAAAGCAAATTGTATTTAAAAAGTGTACCAGAAGATATTCGAAAACATTGAAGCAAGAACAACACAAAGTAAATCTGATATTAGAGTGAACCCCTGGGCCCAACTGTATAGATATTGGCAACTCGTCCAAGTCCAGCTAACTTCTCCAAGTTCCTTAGCTTCTAAAAATCACTGAAGCATAAAGACAAAACAATTTTGTGCCTATCGCTATACTGCCCACCGGACCAAGGGCGAAGAGCACTTGGATTGCAAGGACAACTCTAGCCGAATGACAGACCTGGGATTCCTATTGCCAATGCCTTGATTCTTAATCAGGTAAAATATTCTCACAAATGGGATTTATTTCTAGTCTTTTTATTCTTTGCATTGGTAACGAAGACCAATGCCCTGATGCAGAGTCGAGGCTTCGTTGTCACGAGGTTGTGTGGAAGAACAGAAACAGCAACAACTAATGGCTCAGTAGCTGGTACAGCAAGAGGAAGCAACTCAACAAGAATAGAAAGCTGCAAGATTGGTCATTCTAGTCAAAACAAGCAGAGAAATGGGAGAGGCAAAAGGTACGATTTGTTGAATATTTAGGAACTAGAACAGGCTTTATTTTTTTCAGTTTTTTACCTCTGGAAATTTGAGGTCGACTTCTGAATCTGAAACAACATCTTTAACTGCAGCAGCCACTACATCGAAGCATTTGTTGCGATCTAACATAGCAAAGAGATTAGAATCATTTAAAGTATCTTTTGTAGTCTTCATCTGTGTCTCATCAAATCCTCTTCGGTTATACCCCACTGCAAACTAAAATGTTGGATACAATTCGTTAAGTAGCAATCATCACCATAGAAAATTGATTATTTTACAAAATTAACAAACAGTCACCAAAGATTCAGAGAGAAAAAAATAGGCAGAGAGCCCATCAAAAAACGTAAAAAGGGATGTAGCAGCAACTATCTGCATGCATTATGTTATAGTAATTATGTATCATACAGAATGATGGTGCATGAAATGAACCAAATAAGAGCTACAGAAGAATTCAAGTACTCCCACGATTTACAGCAGAATTCATGTACTCACAAACTAAAATTTATTTTCTACAGCTTCCCATTTTTCCAACACACAGCTGATTCCACTATCCCCAGGAGAGATAAGAGTGAGAGAGACTTAAATGTCAAGAAAACTAACATTTTCCTCTTAAAGGCCTAAAAAAGAATGTTTAAACATGGCATAAATCAAGAGCACTGCATGACAATTTGACAGTTCCTCTCAATCATCATATGCTTAATCAGTAGCATGGTTTATTGTCCTCCTATAAGAATGTAGCCCATACATGAATTCTTAGCTGTGCAGTAAATAAAAGATAAACTTTTACCTTAACAGGGCGGGAAAGTTTATTTTGTTTATCATTTACAAATTGAAGAACAAGCTTTGATACAGTTGCTTGAAGGTCTACCTCCTTCAAGATACAAGTAGATTGGATAGGAAAAATTCGATGACACCAGCTGCACCAAGGGAAAGTTATTTCATCCATCAGATACACGCAACCAAAGGGAATATATACACCTCATACTTCTTAAAAAAAAAAAATGCATATAAACACAGAAACTGCAGTAGACCCACCAAAACTAACAAATATATAGGCTTATACTTGCCAAGGATGCAACTTGAGAGTTATTGAATACCACTGTTGCTGTATAAAATAAATGGGCATCAAAATCAGATAATATAACAATACACAAGTTGGCATCAACATAGGTTAAAAGTCACAGGGGAAAATTTTATACTTTCCCCTTCAAAAAAAGTTGCAATACCAACCCCATTTGTAATTCCATCAATTACTCGTCTATTGAGCAAATGAGTTAGTTGGGCTAATTCTCTTAGCTTTTCTGTTAAGGATATTGCATAAAAAGTATCAATATAAGCATGAGTATATTACCAATCATATATAAAATTGATTATTTTGTCCCAAAGATTAAAATTATATAAGGGAACCAACTGAATGGATCATATTCAAACCTGAAGAACTGAAAAGCTAGAGATCACTTAAATCCTCTTTCTATAAAACCTTCTTGATTTTCTCCTTGTCATCTTTTTACCCTGTGTTAGGGCTTCCCATAAATTTCCGAAAGGACTTAAAGGAATGGGCTAATGTAATGGTTCATGAAATCAGACTTCAACTGCCAAAGAATTAGACAGCTCATAGCTACATGCAATTCTGATAGACCAAAAAAAAAACAGTAAAATAATAATGTCTTTTTTTGTTCTAATTGAAAAGGAAAAAGTAAGTAATCCAAACAGCTAGATGAGACAGTAAAATAAATCCTCCAAAAAGCTAGATCAGACAGTAAAATAAATCCTTTTTCTGTAGAGTATCAAATGAAGCTTTAGCTATTACTTAATATTCTTATGCTTCACTTTCTTTTTCTTTATTTTCTACAACAAAAGGATAGTTTTTATGAACAAGGGGATTTTATATGCTTTGATTTCACGGTGCATATAACTAAAGGCTAAAATTTCATAGATCGACTCCACAATTTGGCCCCATTATAGGTCAAGAAACATTTTGCATTTCTTAGGCGATGAATTCCCCTCATACTATAGAAAGTTTGTTTTTGATTCAATTTGACCATATAGAAGTCATTATTGTTCCAACAAAGACAAAAAATGCAAGATTGAACAACTTTAACGGCAAAAGTTCATGAAAATTGTAAGGAAAATATTCATTGAAAGCAAATGAAATAACAAAATATAATACCATTAACTTTAAAATACGAATTTTTTATAAATAAAAAAGTTTGAAGTTTAAAATTTTCATACACATGTGAACAACAAAGACCAAAATTCTTTAATGTATCAAAGTCAGTGATTCTTCAAGCACTATCTGTAAGAGGACAATTGCAAATTCACCCAATTCTTAGTTTGTAAAACAAAAACTTTTAATTTTCTCTTTACTACAAGATAAAATTAATAGTTGAATTTAATAAAATGAAAAGAAAAGAAAAAGAGATGAACAAAGCAAGAACAAGACAACTGAATGATTCCAAGAGCATACTTTAAGGAAGAAGCACAGGATGATTATGAAATTTCAAGTTTTCATTATAACTAGAAGATAACAAGTAAATCTAAATGATAACAAGAATTAAAAGGTTTAGGTCAACGCTACCAGAACTTCTATATATTAGACAAAAATACTAATTTTGCTAAACATTAAAAATAGGCCTTACTAACCCAGATGTAGAATAACAATAGAAATAACTAAACTAATTAGGAAACCCAAATGTTGAAATACCCTGCGTCACATCTTAAGTAATTTGAAATAATATACATCAATAATACACATGTACATACAATATATGCAAGCAAAAGTATCAAGCATTTTGAAAATGAAGCCTGTTTACTGCTTCCAATGGAGACATATTAAACAGGAATGTAAACTACTTACAGTGGTGACTTTAAAGTCCCAGAGTCCAAAGATTGAACAATGTTTGACACAACACCAACAACGTTATAAGAGTTTTCTCTTGGGAAGGTAAGGAGAAGCAGACCACTTCTTGTTAGCTTAACCAGAGACATATCAAAATCGTATTCTGTGTTTGTATCTACCTTTGAATGGGAGCTACAATCATCCTTTGGAAGTCCACCTACAATTGGGAAGTGTAAATTATAACTTCATAAACAAAGAATCTAATCCCTAATCAAAAGTAAAAATTTATTCTGGGACAAAAAAAATACTACCTGGATCTTCTTTAGTGCCCCCACTTTCTGCACCATTGGCAAATTCCTCACTTGCTTCATCTGTGCATGTTTTCCTTCTCTTAGCGTCACCATTAGTATCAGAGTTCTTCACACTTCCAGAGCCATCACTGTAGTAGGAAGCAATATACTACAAAAAAGTTTAAAGGACCATGAATATTAGTACATATAGGCCAACTATGAAACAAGTCCAGCAGTCCCACCCTTAAAACCAATAAGCTCGATCACCATTGCCAGTAATTGAAACCATTTTATCCAAACAAAATTAGACCAAAATTTCTCTTTGTTCTAATCCAAAAATAACCCTACTCATCACAAGAAAAAGCACATGCAATAGACAAATCCAACTTGGTAAAATTTCAGCTACAGAATTTTCAACTGGAAACCTGGATGACTGAAGTTGTAAAGATAGATATAACATGAGTAATTAAAATGCTATAAGAACGTGATAAATTTTGTTACGAAAGAAAACCTCCTACAGATTATATGAGTAGTTAGCAATTATGGAAATGAATACAGGCTAAAATCTAATAATCAACATTGGTGAATCACTAGTAAGAAAAGAAAAAGAAAAAACACTTGAAAAAAACAAACAAAGAGGAGACCTTTTGAAGAATGGTGATTGCTTCTTTGGTGGCGCTTTTTTCCCTCTCTGATTACAGAAATTGAAAATAAGAAAAGGAGGAGTGATTATAAATTAGAGGGAATGAGTAAAAGAAAAAGAGAGAGGGAAATGAAAGNAAAATTGTAAGGAAAATATTCATTGAAAGCAAATGAAATAACAAAATATAATACCATTAACTTTAAAATACGAATTTTTTATAAATAAAAAAGTTTGAAGTTTAAAATTTTCATACACATGTGAACAACAAAGACCAAAATTCTTTAATGTATCAAAGTCAGTGCTTCTTCAAGCACTATCTGTAAGAGGACAATTGCAAATTCACCCGTTTCTTAGTTTGTAAAACAAAAACTTTTAATTTTCTCTTTACTACAAGATAAAATTAATAGTTGAATTTAATAAAATGAAAAGAAAAGAAAAAGAGATGAACAAAGCAAGAACATGACAACTGAATGATTCCAAGAGCATACTTTAAGGAAGAAGCACAGGATGATTATGAAATTTCAAGTTTTCATTATAACTAGAAGATAACAAGTAAATCTAAATGATAACAAGAATTAAAAGGTTTAGGTCAACCCTACCAAAACTTCTATTTATTAGACAAAAATACTAATTTTGCTAAACATTAAAAATAGGCCTTACTAACCCAGATGTAGAATAACAATAGAAATAACTAAACTAATTAGGAAACCCAAATGTTGAAATACCCTGCGTCACATCTTAAGTAATTTGAAATAATATACATCGATAATACACATGTACGTACAATATATGCAAGCAAAAGTATCAAGCATTTTGAAAATGAAGCCTGTTTACTGCTTCCAATGGAGACATATTAAACAGGAATGTAAACTACTTACAGCGGTGACTTTAAAGTCCCAGAGTCCAAAGATTGAACAATGTTTGACACAACACCAACAATGTTATAAGAGTTTTCTCTTGGGAAGGTAAGGAGAAGCAGACCACTTCTTTTTAGCTTAACCAGAGACATATCAAAATCGTATTCTGTGTTTGTATCTACCTTTGAATGGGAGCTACAATCATCCTTTGGAAGTCCACCTACAATTGGGAAGTGTAAATTATAACTTCATAAACAAAGAATCTAATCCCTAATCAAAAGTAAAAATTTATTCTGGGACAAAAAAAATACTACCTGGATCTTCTTTAGTGCCCCCACTTTCTGCACCATTGGCAAATTCCTCACTTGCTTCATCTGTGCATGTTTTCCTTCTCTTAGCGTCACCATTAGTATCAGAGTTCTTCACACTTCCAGAGCCATCACTGTAGTAGGAAGCAATATACTACAAAAAAGTTTAAAGGACCATGAATATTAGTACATATAGGCCAACTATGAAACAAGTCCAGCAGTCCCACCCTTAAAACCAATAAGCTCGATCACCATTGCCAGTAATTGAAACCATTTTATCCAAACAAAATTAGACCAAAATTTATCTTTGTTCTAATCCAAAAATAACCCTACTCATCACAAGAAAAAGCACATGCAATAGACAAATCCAACTTGGTAAAATTTCAACTACAGAATTTTCAACTGGAAACCTGGATGACTGAAGTTGTAAAGATTGATATAACATGAGTAATTAAAATGTTATAAGAACGTGATAAATTTTGTTACGAAAGAAAACCTCCTACAGATTATATGAGTAGTTGTGGACTAGAAAATGATCAGCTCAATAGAGTTTAAGCTACATGATAATCACTACCAATTATGGAAATGAATACAGGCTAAAATATAATAATCAACATTGGTGAATCACCAGTAAGAAAAGAAAAAAAAAAAAAAAAACACTTGAAAAAAAGAAACAAAGAGGAGACCTTTTGAAGAATGGTGATGGCTTCTTTGGTGGCGCTTTTTTCCCTCTCTGATTACAGAAATTGAAAATAAGAAAAGGAGGAGTGATTATAAATTAGAGGGAATGAGTAAAAGAAAAAGAGAGAGGGAAATGAAAGAATACTGATAGTGCAGGTGATGAGGAAGCCAGAGTGAGAACGTTGAAGAATAGATGAAGGTGCGTTGTAATCAAAACGAGGTATGCTAATCACTCTTGAGTGTTGTTCCCACGGCTTCATTTCTGTCTCTGTTCCTTCTTCTCCTTTTTGAAATTCTGTTTCTTCAGCCATTGTTGTTCAAAATTCAAAGTTCAAACCTCCGAAGCCCTAGCTTCTGTGCTATATATATTCAGAATGGAAACAAATAATTGTTATTATTATTGGTATAACTGTCAAAACTTAAATCCATTTGTCATTAACTTTTATTGATATGTTAACATAGATATTTATTATATTATAATGAGAAATTTTTGAAGTGTCATTCTCTCATGAATTTTGTGTTTATGTATTTTGAAAACATTAAAAATATTTAGAAAATACAAAAAATAAAAATGCATAAGACATATTTGTCTGAAAATCATATTTAAAAACGCGAAATTTGTTTATAATTTTTTGTTCATTTTGAAGAATTCGTCTCAAATATGTCAATATTTTCTGTTCCCGTTTATAATTTAGTATTAAAATTGATATTTGTGCTGGGTTCTAACAATCATCCAAGTGTGATTTTCTCAAGGCTTTTTTAATGTACTTAGTGAATATGACAAATATTAAGGTAACCAATTAAGCACAAATACAAGTGAAAATTGAATAAAAGTAAAGAGTAAGGGATAAGAAAATCAAATGTGCCGATGTGCAGTGGTTCTTTTTTATACCTTAGCCCTGTCTTTGCTAGATATGTCTTTGCTAGTTCCATGTAGAACCAGCAATTAGTTGTGCCGTGCTTAAAAATTCAAGGTCCGTCGTGTTATGGGCCGTGCCATGCCAAGACCTACAAAAATTCATACCCTGTCTTGTAGTGTCGACCCACCAAATTTGAAGGCTCACAACACGACCTGTTATATATTGTGCCATGTCATAGACTGTGTTGTGGGTCGACTTGCGTGCTTTGAAAAAGAGATTTAATTTTAATATTTATAATTTATAATAATTTTTTATTTTTTATTAATAATTATTATGAAAATATTTTATATGTTATATTTAGTGACATTTTATATTTATATTAATTAAAAAAATATATAATCATTATTAAAATAATGAGACATTGAAATATTAATTGAATTTTAACATTTTTTATAAGTTATAATTATAAATTACAAATACAAACTTAGAAATTAGGATTAAGAATTATTATACATCTTCATATTCATTTGCTGTGTTTCCACATTTGACTTCATAATTTGAATACATTTAAAGTAATAAAATTCTAACATTTCCTAATGAAATTTTTAAAGGCTGTTTTATTTTTTATTTTTTTCGTGTCGTGCCAACCCACGTGTCTTTTTTAAGGCCCACGGCACAGCTCGCATAATCGTGAATTATGTCGTGCCGACTACCATGCAGTGTTATGGGTCGGCAAAACCCACCGTTAACTCTAGTTCTTTCATTGATTCATCAATGTTAACTCATTTCCCCGCCGCTCTTTAGAAACAACTTCAATTACTCAAACCATTCAGATAATTATTGGATCCTAATTTCTCAATAGTAATTTGTAAGTTTGGCTTATTTGGTTGTCCATGGTGGTTGGATTACCAAGGCAGATTAAAGTGTAATAGAGGTTGAAGGCATAGTGACTTAAAATATTTCTTAATAAAACCCAACACTGGGTTCGGCAGTGAAGGCCAAAGAATCTTGGGCTTTCCATTGATATGGAGATAAAAAATGTCTGCATATAGGCAGCTAGTGATTTGGGAAAAAGAATAATTACAAAATCAGTCATAGACTAATTACATGGAAACCACTCTAACTAGGAATCAACCATAGCTATACAAGAAACTAGTTAGGAAACAAAAACCTATTAGCTCGTGTACTAAATCTATCCTATTAATGAAGAGATATTCTGAGATCTTTGTGAATAAATATGAGTAAATTCCAATAAGAAGGTCCTTTCCCTTGCTCTTTTGCCATGTACTTGATATGATTTGAGTGAAGTTGTAAATAATGCAAGGATACAAATAATGTGAAAGGATCAATGGCTTACCCATGAATTGAGTTTAAAAAACTAATTCAAAAATTTACACAAGATTACCTAATTTTTGCTCCTAAATTGCTGTTAATGTCCATTTTTGTCAAGGAATCCCATGTGGCCCAAGGTGATTTCAAGGCCACTCCCCATGCCAACAAGATGTTTTCTTGACCATTTTCCAAAGGGCGGTTTACCCAAGCCATTGCAGGGGGCATTTTTTAGTAGGTTATGGTATGGTAGGATAGGGTGTCCAATAAGACTTATTAGGGCCGAGGTATTTCTTTGAATTAGAACCACTTGGGGGATTCTAATTAGGTCATTTAGTCTTAATAGGCAACGTAAGTTGATTTTAAAAGTCAAGTCCAACCTATTTCCAAAATTACAAAAAACCCCCAAAATAGCATTGTGTGTGTAATTACATATTGTCCATGCATTTAAGCTTAAAATTACACATTTTCAATTTCGGATGCTCCAGTTTTAAATTTCATAATTTCCTTAGCTGTATTCTATTTTATAAATTTTTGTTTTTTTACTAGGAATTTACTACTTTAGCCTTCCAAGTTCCGACTTTATTTTAATTCTTTTCAAAAAGACGTCTTAAATCCTTTCAAGATATTTTCTTACTGTTTTAGAGTTAAAAATTCAACTGAATTATTTTCTTATTGTTATTCATTCTTAAAATTACTAAAAAGCCCTTTTAAAAGACTTTATTTGTTATAAAATTATAGTTTTAATTAATTTCACTTATTTTAATATTTTACTAAAACCTAAGATAAATACTACATCATTTATCTTATGATTTAATAATTTATCAATTTATTTTAAAGTAAATCCCATTTCTATTTAATTTTTATTTTATAAAAATATGATTTATCTCATAAACAACTATTATTTTATCTTATTATTTATTTTATTTTATATTTATACTAAGGTGAGATAATTATTTTAGTATTTTACAACAATTATCTCCTCCTAATAGTTATTTTCAAATCTTTTTCCTAATGACCCTAGACTTTACTAAGAGTGTGTTTGATTTGGGAGAATGTCACATAACTCCAGTAATGTCATCTTATATTACTGATATTATCATGTTTAACTGTTAAGTAATATAAAATTTAAATAATCCTTTAAAGTCAATAGTAATTATTGCTTTAGTGTATCCCCTTTGGTTTTGGCTTCAAATCAGTGTGCTTTAATTATTTTAAACTTTTTGAGACTTATTGGAATTTCTCGACTCCCACACCAAAATCTATTTCCAAAACTTGTTCTTGGTTTCCTTTAACTGATATTAGCTATGCATGTCTACAACGAAACTCTTCTTCGAGTTATCCTCTGAAAGATGGTCATGGGCTAAGTCGTTGAATCACTAACAATTCGTGGTTGAGAATTAAAGAAAGAAGACAACATAATTCCCTTAATTTATATTTTGATTATTTTTAATTCAATTTATTTGTTGTAATTTCTTTATTTACTTTAATTCCAAAACACCACCAACAATTGCTAAGTCGATTTTCATACAATTTGAGCAAATATAAAAAAAAAACAAGTTGAACAATCAATTGCACAAATTAAAAAGTAAGGATAAAGAAATGAAACACTTAGTGTATAATGGTTCGGCAAACCCGACTATTTCTGCCCCTTTTAAGAATCCCCCTTCAAGATTTTCTACTATCACATTTGGTCTTCAACCAAGATTAAGATTTTCTTTATAAAAGTTGGCTTCCAATGTGCAACTAAACCATTACACAAGTGTCATATCCAACACTTCAACCTAATTGACTTTACGGTGTCAATTAAACCTCTCTCAATATAAGAGAACTCACCTATGATCTCTAGAATCCCAACCATCCCAAAGAGTGATATGACACTCTTTACAACACAATAAATAATGGATTTAAAAAAAAAAAAAAAAATGAAACTCTCTTTGAAGAGTGGATAAACAAGTTTTGGCTCACACATCCTAACCTACAAAATTTACAATTGAAACTGTAGCAATAGGTTTAGTTTAGAGTGACAAGATTCGCAAATGAAAACTCTAAATGATTTGAACACTATTGATAAAAATATTTGCAAGTTCTAGAGTGACAAAAGTTCATACAAAATGAGTTTAGTTGTAGTTTATGTAGAAAGGCTAATAAAACTAGCCATTATGCTTAAAAACACATTTTCAAATCCCAGAATTCGGTCAACAGCTTTTGAATTTGCTTGACCGCTTTTGAATCTGGTAAATCGAATAAGGTGAAATTGCAAACTTTCAAACCTTGGAAAAATATCAACCCATTTAACTTTAAACTATGACATTTTGGCCCAAAATTAAAGGGTTTTTATTGGTAAACCCCCATAGTTTTCACAAAATCATACAAAACACCCAGTCACCCACTAGTATCCAAAATAGGAGGTAAACCCTTATTTCGTTGAACATCGTTAATAATTATCTGTTAAAAAAGTAAATGATGTTTTTACTCTTCTAACCCATAAAACCTCTTCATTTTACCCATCTAACTCTAAAATATGACAAATTAACCCAAACCTCTAAATATCCAATAATCAACAATGCCACAAGAGTAGCAAGAGGCCAGATCAAGCATACTTTCCCTCATCAATGATGACACAAGGCTATATTAGGCCTCAATGCCTACCTCACTAGTAGAACAAGGCTAGATTAGGCCACATTAAACGCCTCTTTGGCAGCACTAGGCCAATGAAGTCTCGTATGCCGTAAACAAAGTGGCTCAAGGCCAAGTTAGGCCTTGTCTAGTAGTAAGAAAGCGATGCAATGTCGAATTAGGCCTCGCCAGTCATCAAAAAAGTAGCACGAGGTAGATCTAGCCTCATTGGCCGTTGACAAAGCGGTGTGAGGGGCTAGATCAAGCCTAGTGCCCTTTCATCGTCGTCTTGGGAGCCTAGATTAGGCCTCACGTCCCTTCATCAGTGTCGTGGGAGGTCAAATCAGGCTCCTGCCACTTCGTCGACAACTTGTGAGGCTAGATCTAGGGGTGTAAACGAGTCAAGCCTAAACAAACTTGGAGCTAATTGAGCTCAGCTCGATTGCTACAATGTCGAGCTCGAGTTCGAGCTCAAGCTTGGTGAACTTGAAAAATTGAACTCGAGCTTGAACTCGACATTAAAAAACTCGACTAATCGGACCTCACAAAAAT